TGACACACCCGCTTTAAGGACACTGACTGCTATTCAATCTATAACAGTGAAAAAAGTTTTTTGTTTTTAAATGCAAGCTATTGTGACACCAGTGAGTGGTGGTAATCTGGGCACCGTATTCCACTGGTGAGCTTACCACACCTAATTTTAAGGACACTGACTGCTATTCAATCTATAACAGTGAAAACTTTTGTTTTAAATGCAAGCTGCCGGTAGACAATTCAGGATATGAGTGGAGTGGTGGCACCTGACTGGGCAATGGCACCGTGATTCACTGTGAGCCTGATGACAGAAGCTGCAGGCAGTGGCAGACAACTAACTTCATTCAATCTATAACAGTGAAAAGTTTTGCTTTAAATGCAAGCGTTATTAGACAATTCAGTGAGTGGTGGCACTGGGCACCGTATTCACTGTGAGCTTAACACACCCGCTTTAAGGACACTGACTGCTATTCAATCTATAACAGTGAAAAAAGTTTTTTTGTTTTTAAATGCAAGCTATTGTGACACCAGATATGAGTGAGTGATGGCACTGGGCACCGTATCCACTGTGAGCTTAACATACCCGCTTTAAGGACACTGACTGCTATTCAATCTATAACAGTGAAAAAAGTTTTTTGTTTTTAAATGCAAGCTATTGTGACACCAGTTAGTGGTGGCACTGGGCACCGATCCACTGTGAGCTTAACACACCGCTTTAAGGACACTGACTGCTATCTCAATCTATATAACAGTGAAAGTTTTTTGTTTTTAAATGCAAGCTATTGTGACACCAGCGAGTGAGTGGTGGCACTGGGTACAGTATCCACCGTGAGCCTGGACACACACCCGCTTTAAGGACACCTCCTCGACTGCTATTTAATCTATAACAGTGAAAAAAGTTTTTTTTTTAAATGCAAGCTATTGTGACACCAGTGAGTGGTGGCACTGGCACCGTATCCACTGTGAGCCTGACACACCCGCTTTAAGGACACTGACTGCTATTCAATCTATAACAGTGAAAAAAGTTTTTTGTTTTTAAATGCAAGCTAATGTGACACCAGTGAGTGGTGGCATCGGGCACCATATCCACTGTTAGCTTAACACACCCGCTTTAAGGACACTGGCTGCTATTCAATCTATAACAGTGAAAAAAGTTTTTTGTTTTTAAATGCAAGCTATTGTGACACCAGTGAGTGAGTGGCACTGGGCAATCGTGATCCACTGTGAGCTTAACACACCGCTTTAAGGACACTGACTGCTGCTATTTAATCTATTACAGTGAAAAAAGTTTTTTGTTTTTAAATGCAAGCTATTGTGACACCAGATATGAGTGGTGGCACTGACTGGGCAAATGGGCACAGTATCCACTGTGAGCCTGACACAGAAGCTGGCAGCAGTGGCAGACAACTAACTGCTATTCAATCTATAACAGTGAAAAAAGTTTTTTGCTTTTAAATGCAAGCTATTGTGACACCAGTGAGTGGTGGCACTGGGCACTGTATCCACTGTGAGCTTAGCATACCCGCTTTAAGGACACTGACTGCTATTCAATCTATAACGGTGAAAAAAGATTTTTTGTTTTTAAATGCAAGCTATTGTGACACCAGATATGAGTGAGTGGTGGCACTGGGCACCGTAGCCACTGTGAGCTTAACACACCCGCTTTAAGGACACTGACTGCTATTCAATTTATAACAGTGAAAAAAGTTTTTTGTTTTTAAATGCAAGCTATTGTGACACCAGATATGAGTGGTGGCACTGACTGGGCAAATGGGCACAGTATCCACTGTGAGCCTGACACAGAAGCTGGCAGCAGTAGCAGACAACTAACTGCTATTCAATCTATAACAGTGAAAAAGTTTTTTTTGTTTTTAAATGCAAGCTATTGTGACACCAGTGAGTGAGTGGTGGCACTGGGCACAGTATCCACTGTGAGCCTTACACACCTGCTTTAAGGACACTGACTGCTATTCAATCTATAACAGTGAAAAAAGTTTTTTGTTTTTAAATCCAAGCTATTATGACACCAGTGAGTGGTGGCACTGGGCTGCGTATCCACTGTTAGCGTAACACACCCGCTTTAAGGACACTGACTGCTATTCAATCTATAACAGTGAAAAAAGTGTTTTGTTTTTTTAAATCCAAGCTATTGTGACACCAGATCTAATCAGTGGCACTGGTCAGCGTATCCACTGTTAGCGTAACACACCCGCTTTAAGGCCACTGACTGCTATTCAATCTATAACAGTGAAAAAAGTTTTTTGTTTTTAAATGCAAGCTATTGTGACACCAGATATGAGTGAGTGGTGGCACTGACTGGGCAAATGGGCAAAGTATCCACTGTGAGCCTGACACAGAAGATGGCAGCAGTGGCAGACAACTAACTGCTATTCAATCTATAACAGTGAAAAAAGTTTTTTGTTTTTAAATGCAAGCTATTGTGACACCAGATATGAGTGGTGGCACTGACTGGGCAAATGGGCACAGTATCCACTGTGAGCCTGACACAGAAGCTGGCAGCAGTGGCAGACAACTAACTGCAATTACATTAAACAGAAAAAAAAAAAAGCAGACTGATGTTCAAGCCCTAAAAGGGGCTTTTTGGGGTGCTGTCCTTACAGCAGAGATCAGATGAGTCCTTCAGGACTGTAGTGGACACTGTATACCCTAACCTAGCTATGCATTTCCCTATCTAATCAACAGCAGCTAGACTTTCCCTCCTCTAACTAAGCATGCAGCTTGAGAATGAATCTAAAATGGATGCTGTCCAGTAGGTGGGAGGGTCTGCTAGGGAGGGTGTGCTGCTTATTGGCTGGAATGTGTCTGCTGACTGTGAGGTACAGGGTCAAAGTTTACTCAATGATGACGAATAGGGGGCGGATCGAACCGCGCATGTGTTCGCCATCCGCGGCGGACGCGAACACGCTATGTTCGCCAGGAACTGTTCGCCAGCGAACTGTTCGGTGCATCACTATCTGTCACTAGTCACCCCCTCCCTCTGTCACCTGTCATGCCCTCACTCTGTCACTAGTCACCCCCTCACTCTAGTGACAGAGTGAGGGAGGGTGGGACTAGTGACAGAGAGAGGGAGGGGGTGTCTAGTGACAGTAAGGAAGGGGATGACTAGTGACAGAGTGAGAGAGGGGGTGACTAGTGACAGAGTGAGGGAGGGAATGGGTGACTAGTGACAGAGTGAGGAAGGGGGTGACTAGTGACAGAGCGAAGGAGGTGGTGACTGTCACTAGTCACCCCATCCATCCCTCTGTCACTAATCACAACCTCCCTCACTCTGTCACTAGTCACAACCTCCCTCACTCTGTCACTAGTCACCCCCTCCCTCTCTCTGTCACTAGTCACACCCTCCCTCATGTGACTAGTGACAGAGTGAGGGAGGGTGTGACTAGTGACAGAGAGAGGGAGGGGGTGACTAGTGACAGAGTGAGGGAGGTTGTGACTAGTGACAGAGTGAGGGGAGGACTGGTGACAGAGTGAGGGAACGGGTGACTAGTGGCAGAGTGAGGGAATGAAGGGGTGATTAGTGACAGAGTGAGGGAGGTGGTGACTGTCACTAGTCACTAGTCACCCCCTCCCTCACTCTGTTCCTAGTCACCCCTCCCTCTATCACTAGTCACCCCTTTCCTCTCTCTGTCACTAGTCACCCCTTCCCTACCTAACTCTGTCACTATTCACCACTTCACTCCCTCACTCTGTCACTAGTCATCCCCTCCCTCCCTCACTCTGTCACCAGTCACACCCTCCCTCTGTCACTAGTCACCCTCTCCCTCACTCTGTCACTAGAGTGAGTGGTTGACTAGTGGTACTGGTAGGTACCTATGGAGCGGAATTAAACATGCTGGACATGCACAGCTGCTAGTAAGTAGGAGTGAGTAGGGCCATGGTGGTAATCTCCAGGATGGTTAGATAAACGCGGGGAGTAGCAGATAAGGCCAGAGCACAACCCAAGTCTCCTTCCCCTACACATCAAGCCTTCACCCGATACCCATAGTGGCTATGAGAGTCTCATAATGAGCACTCCAAAGCTGGTCCCATGCCTCAACAAGTGCCCTTGTACAGTTCTCACTGCTCCGTTCACTCTTTGCACCACAAGCGCGGTCTTGAAATCGATGTTGCTCCCTCCAAGGGTGTGGGAAGGGCGTCGGGGTTATCTCCCTCCGGGCCCCCAGCTTAGGAAGTTAGTAGCAAGTGTTGGACGATTTGGGAAGTGCGTGATGAAGCTTGAGATTGGGCTTTCTTCCCCTTCTGCCTCTTACATCAGGAGATTTTTGTTGCTTCCGTTTAGTGCCAACCCTTGGGCATTCAATGTTAGGAGGCAAGCTCAGCAGCATGAAATCACTTTGCGGCTTCTCCACCCCCTGGTGGGGTTGTTGTGCCCTTATATCTTTGCAGGGATACGGGTTCGGCTCTGAATGCGAGCCCAAAGCTCCTGGCATATCTGATCAAAACAAGCATTGATGCATGTCTGCAAGCACTGGCTCACCCAGCCTTTAGAAGACAGTGTAGCCCAAGGCACGGCAGCCATGATAGGTTTGCCACGCGGTGTGTTCAGATTGATGGGAGACTCCGTTTGTGCATGGAGGGTAGTTCCCTCAACGGGGACTGGGATATCCCTCTCTGGTCTCTTTGTATAGAGTAATGTCGCACGAGTACAACAGTACCCCTCAAGTACAGGTTTTATGGTGATTTTATGGTGATTATGGTTACAGGGTCAAATATATGATTTGCCAATTTCTGTTTTTGTAAATTGCTGTTTGCCAGATTGGCTATGGTGCATTTAAAATGGTATGGTAGCCCAGAAAAGAAAATTAACCCCACCATGACATACCATTTTAAAAGTTAGTCAACCCAGGGTATTCAAAATGGGGTATGTCAAGTCTTTGGTAGTAGCCACTCAGCCACAGACGCTTGTCAAAGTTAGCGTTCATATTTGTTTTTTGCATTTTGTTACACAAAAAAACTGCACTTTTACTGGTGATTTTATCATTGTGGTATGTTTTACTGTTTTAAACGCTCATATTTGTGTTCAGCAAAGTCTCCAAAGTATAACAATATCCCTCATGGCAGTAAAAAGAGCACTATAAGGTTTATAAAATTTAGTCACATCCTATACATATGGGTTTTATTATATAGCTAATCATTGAGGTGACATAAACCATTAATCGTGGTTCATGGTTTATATAACTTCAGTGATACTAGCGGTGGTTGTGGGCCCTAAAATACAAAAAGGGGGACCTACAGCCTCCACCTCCCCCGGCCCCCACCCGTGAGCAGTGGTTGGGGGCCCAAAATGACAATAGGAGGAGGAACCTACTGCCGCCCCCTTGCACCCACCCATGAGCAGTGGGTCCACTACCCGTCTCCTACCTTATAAGGGTTATACAATAAAGTGAGAATTCAAAGTAAATTCTAAGTGAATTTCATATTTAAACTTGAATTACATATTTCAAACTCGGAAAATTCACAAAATCAGCTATACTTTCAGTTTAAGCTACTTGGGCCTAAAATTACCCGGAGAGTTGTTTCAACTGCCACAAGCACTAGTTAGCTAAGTCGATACATCAGTAAGCTAAACCAAGTCTCACACTAGAAATGATCATCTTGGCTATCTTCCACAAAGGCACAGCAAGGGTAAATACACTGTATCAGCGCTGGTCTATCTCTCTCACTAGCTGCAGCCAAAGTGTCTGAAATTATTCTGCTCTGATGTATAGATTGTTTTACTGCTAATACTTTGGTACCATCTATAAGCCAGTTGTCCCTTGATCTGTGAATAAAATAAACATTTACTGGATGTCCCCTAACTGTCAATCACTGTTTGTTTCCCTCCTCTTGAATGGGCAGACTATAAAGCTCACATGATGGAGCACAGCTCTTGACCACCATGGCAAACTAATGTTTAGTTGTCTCCACCAAAAGAAAAATACAAAACAAAATAAAAAAATAGCATCTTCTCCATTTAATTCTGCTATTTTCTGGAAACTAACATGTACATGCATTGCATGAATCATTTGTTGCAGTGTACCTTTAACTTTTAAGATTGTAACAACTTTAGTTTTTGTGTATGATGAAATAACTTCATACTAAACTCCAGCACTGCGGGGACGTTCCACTAAACTCCCCTGATATATACAGAATAAAATATAAAGTTGGATCACATTATTCAGATATTTGACTTTGATAGAGTTCTGGCGTTCAGCCATATCTTATTTCTGATGAGCTGCGGTTTAAAAAAAAATAAAAATAATCAGAGGATATTTTTGTCCTTTTTTTTCCCTGCATTCTGTAATCAGATTTCTAAGCAATCTTTTCGTAAGTCATTTTAGTAATTCATTTTAAAAGTGTTTTTTATATATATATCCAAGTAAAAAAAATGAATAAAATGTTGAGTTAATTTTTTTTCATACTAAGTGTAATATATAGTTTATTTAATGATAAAAGTCACTGAACTGGTGTGTATGCCTTATGTTTGGAAATAGTTCAATAAGCTGAAAGATTGTTTTAATAGAATCTATTTTCATGTTTTGTTTAGCATTATAACTGTAGCCTGTCAGGGGGTTTGTTCTACTTACTAAATATTGAACTGTATCCGAATTCTAAAACTTGAATTACAAAATGCAGCTACAAACTGCTGGCCTGGAGAAGGTTTCCAATTCAGTAATTTGTCACAACATGTGTAATTTAGCCTCAGTTTTGTAATTCAAATGTCATTTCTTGGGAAATTGGTGCTTAGATAGTAAAGTGTGAATTGCCAACAATTTAAAGGGAAACTAAAGTGAACTTAAAATTGAATGCAAACATGGCTAAAGTATAAAAAATCTGTAAGTCATATGTTTTCAGTTCAGTTATTTTGGGCTGCAATTTTAAGTTCATTTTGACTTACTGACAACTTACTTTGAAGACAATAATGATGATTGCATTGTAGGGTTTAATTCACTAATCTGCTAATATTGGAAAACTAAAAGCAGAATTGCTAAATTTAGGGAAAACAGTCAAGCTGCAAAAATTGCCGGGTTGGAAAATGTTTCAAAAATAACTATTTTGGCATAAAATGTGGCATTTGGTTTTCAACCCACTACAATTCCCACTTTAGCAAATAACTCTATGCGTCTAAATTACACTCTAAATTGCAAAAATAAGACTTAAAACACTTTTCCCTTTCTAAACTTTGAGTAATGCCGCAACCCATTAAACTGCACAGATATTAATAAAATAGTATCATGATTTATATATGGTATGTTTATAACAGTGGAATATTTTCTCTTAGTAAAAACATAAATTGCAAACAAATATTACTCTATCTTAATGTTACGTACTGGTTATGAAATTCCATTTGATCTTTAATTATATAAGGTGACAATGATTAATATGTTCTCTCTGCGTTCAAATAATATCCGACATCCATTGTGGCCACCATGTGAGTTTTCATTTTGTCTATAATTCTGTTTGTTTGGAAAAAGTAACAGATGTAAATGTATTTGGTGTTAAACCAGCACAAACTATCTGTTTCTTCATCACAGTGCCCCATTCAAATTACATCATAGTTACATTTTGAAATTCCAGGATAAACAGATAACATTATTTAATGATAGGACCAAGGACTTACTACGAGAAGTGTGGAGCTGGTGAGGAGATCCAAAGATAGATTTATCAGAAAAAAGTATGAGCCAAGAGAAAAGGATATGACAGAAAAAAGAGATACTGTTTGAGAATGGACTTGAAAAGACGAGATAAGAACTTCTAAAGACCAGTGCCAACTAGACCAAAGTTATGGAAAAAACGGTTCATTGTGGGAAAAACATCAGAGATGAAAAAACATTTAGTATAAAGTTGTAAACTTTTGATTTGGTTACAAGTAGATAATTGATTACCATTAGTTATGTATCTTAAACTGCTACTATATCTTGCTATTCTGTACATTTAAATAATATACACATTTTTTTCTATAATTTTTTAGATTGTAAAGTGTCATGTCTGCATGCAGCGAGACACCTTGATCGGACTATGACTGTAAAGAATGAATCAATCGTCACAGAATTCATACTTCTAGGCTTTGGAAATCTCTTTGCCTTCAAAATTATAATTTTCATCATATTCCTTATCATTTTCTTGTTCACAGTAACCGGAAATCTTTTGATCATTGTGTTAGTTTCCATCAGCCATCACCTTCATTCTCCCATGTACTTCTTCCTTTGTCATCTATCATTGTCTGATATTGTGCTCTCAACGAATGCTCTCCCCAACCTGCTGGGAGCAATCTTACACGGTGGGAAAGTTATGACAATTCTGGGCTGTATAACTCAATTCTATTTCCATAGTGGCATTACTATCACAGAATGTTTCCTGCTTGCAGTGATGGCCTATGATCGATACCTGGCTATATGTGTCCCATTGCATTACACCTCTATCATGGACTTGACAATGCGCACCTGTCTGTCTGT